ATATATATACTATTTCCTCAGTATTGATGAAACACCATGCTAAATTCAACTGCAATAGCCCCCCTTCGTCTTCTTAGGAAACCACTAAGATGGTCTTTAGACAGATATTGCATAACTCAAGAAAAGTAAATAAGAACGTTAAATAATTATAGTGTAACATGAAAATATCCCAGAGACCCAGTTTGTACTGTTTTAATGCATAAAAGTTCATTTTTGGTGAGTTAGAGTTTAACATTATTGTCCTTAAGCTACTTTGTAACTAAATTGATATCATGCTTTCTTTTGTTCGTTTTGGAAACCCCCCTGTACCCAAGCTGAAACTTCCTGGTATATGTCTTGAAATGTTATTTTATAATACATGTAATGTACGTTCTCTATGAAATTATCTAATTATATTGCAAAGTGCCCCTACCCCACTAGCAAAAGGTAAACCCGGAAAAGGAGCTGCCCCTGTACTCCAAAGGTGAGATGGTGTTCTCAGGCTCACAAGCTTCCCCCTGTCCTTCCAATGCAACAATGGTAAGACCAGATTTTTACATTTTAATTTAGTCAAACCAATCCAGAGATGGATGCTTTTTTCCCTGAGGGCCCATGTAATTTGTAATATGGGTTGTTATACAGGATTTCTTTTTGAGTTAAACACTTCTTCCTTGTTGAGTGGCATTTCAAAGCTATGTTAATAAAGGACTTGTTTTAGTGTGGATAATGACACTCCAATCAGTTTTAGCTTTTCCCCTGTGATTGACGGACACTTCACACCAAATGCATTAACCACATGGAAGAAAGAATTAGTCTCCCTTATAAACAGTGAGCTCGCTGACCTTCCTTTAGTGTTTACTCAAACTTGTATTTAGGTTTTTGATTACATGAACCTGCAAGCTTCTGAAAACTTAAGGATGTACCAGATTTTTCCAGGCTCACCACTATCTCTTTGTTACATTGCCTGATTTATTTTGACACATGTGTTACTCTGAATAGCTATAGCGGGAGCACCTTTCACACATCATTTAAAGGTGTAGTAATCTTACAAATAAATTGTTCAAATATTTCCTCCCTGTAAGTTCATATAAGAAAAAAAAAATCTATTAGCCTTACAGATCTAAAGCAGGAACATTTAGGCTACGTTCCCACTGCAGGCCTTGATGCTCAATTCAGATCTTTTGTGAAATCCGCGTTGCTGTTCACATTTCCAAATATATGCGAGTTGTATGTGATCTCCTGTGTGAACTGCATTCATACAGCTTAAGTGTCCCTCAAATGTGACCTGCGAGACAGGTCGCATTAGAAAAGATCAGATGTATCGGATCCAGGACCACCTAGCAAGGTGGAAAAAGTCGCATCTGTGTTGTTCAGACAGCCATGAAAAGACCAGATCCAGGTTGCATATGGGCAAAAAAAATCGGATTTGGGTCACTTCAGGCTGCAGAGTGAACGTAGCCTTAGAGGAGTGGTAGGAGAACCTAAATTTCAGACATTGCTTGACTACTAAGAATGCTATATCATTGGCACACATCAACAGAGCCTATTGACAGCAAAAAATGCTAAATTGGATATCATCAAGACCATTTTTACTTATGTGGGATTAGTTGGAAACATGGCACTGACCCTTTTATTCAGAGAGATGCGTTCAGCCGACTCACGCATGGCCTCCTTCCTGGAAATCACCTCTGACCTCTCCATCTCCAGACCACTGGTAAACAAGTCCCTGCGGGCCATGTATGCAGCCGTGTCCCTCACTGTGGCCTCCTCTGTGTCTGATAAACCTGTAGCAAACTCTCGACTATCGGTGTCAGCAGAGGGGAACCAGGAGTGGGTTTGGAGGAGTAAGAGTTATAACCATAGCTGATATAGTTCAAAGTAATTCAGAACGTTCTATTTGGTGAATGTTTTTTACCTGCCCCTGAAGATGGGTACTACATAGCCGATGATTTGGTTGTCTTTGTCAACAGCCAAATAAGATGGCTTGGATCGCTTCGGTAAGGGGCTTAGTTTGTTCTCCTCCAGTCCCGAGTGGGAATACACCTTAAGGCTGAGACAAACAGAACAGCATCAGTCTGGCACGAGCCAGACAGTGCCACATTTCATAAAACACTTTGGATGAAAGTAAAGCGAGGGTTTGATTAGCTGCAGGTTAACAAAAAGTGATGGAAAAGGTTTAGTTATTTTTTTGTTTTGACACATATATACATTCTTACAAAAGATATCAGATTGATTGAATGATCTGAGATCTATCTTAATTGGACCCAAAGTTATAGCCTGAATGAATTACTACAGATCACTTTGGCATTTAAATCCCCTCTTTATATGTGTCTTTCTGGGTCAAAATCCTTTAAATGATTGCTCTCAAATGCTGTTTTATCCATTTCATGGACCAATGTGTGCCACATTGTACTAGCCAGGTTGACATTTTGTAGCTGCTTTAAAAACGGACACAAATTGTGCCATTGATCAGTGTGTACTGTAAGGAAACGTGGTTAAATGACTTGAATGACAAACATCTACTAGGAGGAGGACACTTGAATGTATTGGAGAGGTCAGGGGTCCCAATCTGTCAGAATCAGCTGGCAATATGGAGATAGATGGCAATTTTTATTAGAAAGTGGCTTTTTTTTCCAATTAAATAGAAAATTGAGATTGAACAAGTTTAGGACTATTTATTCTTGTAATATGTAAAAATATGCCATAGTTCAAAGATATTGGTAAAAAAGCATATCATGGAAGATTTACTGAGGCAAAAGGCAATGATTTTATAAGAAATAGGGTAAGTGTTGAAGAGGCAATAGACCTTTAGCCATCCTATCTAAAACGATTCAAAAATGACAACTTAAACGTGATAATAACGATGGTGTCATATGTCATATGTCGTATTATAACCCACCTCATATTTCCCATATGTGCCTCCATGACAGATTATCAATGCAGGGAAGTAACTGTAACTATCAGACGGTGTTAAAATCCCTAAACTTGTTCACACTTAGTAGGATCGTTTGCTTAGGATCATGAGCCTGTACATTTTGTTGTAGCAGCAAAGAGAAAAGAATAATATAAATCACCAGAATGTCACTAAGTCTGTATTAGTTTTTTTTGTGCAAAGGATCTTTTGGTCAGTTGGTTTTTATATGTTTGGGTGTATATTGAATGAAAGAGATATAATAATAATCCATGTTTAGAAACACAGTTTGTCTAAGACCTTCAAAACCAGCTTTCAGTAAATAACAACTTAATTAATATCTACAGGCAGCAACAAGGTGTCCAAAACAATCAATTTAAATGTGATATCATGGAGAGGTTTTAGTTCATTCTGGGTGGCTGTGTTAAATATTAGTTGTTTCTTGTATATAAATGCACTTTACATCTTGCTAGCATCATGCAAAGAACCTCATGCAGAAAATAAAACAGTTTTAAGTTGATACGAAGAGGGAACATTTGTAGCTAGATTTTTTTAAAATAGAAAAAAAGGGAAAAAATTAAGAGGGATAAAGCTGGTTACTTGGTGTAAAGGAAAGATGATCCCAAAGTTCTGACAGGGAAGAGTTCCAATAGGGTTGATGGAGGTGAACCAGCTCAGCTGGGGAAGGCAGAGGTGTTAGAAAGGTAGTAGGGCTTTCCTTGGATATTGAAGTTAACTGATATATGTTTCAACCCACAATCGTCTTCTGCCCTTCCTTCTCCTTACCCCCTGCTGGTTGCAGACAGGCTGGTCCCAGCAGAGTACCTGCTGCTGGACTGGTAGTGCCTCAGTTTAGATTCTGCCTCCATGCTACGGTAGCCACGGTCGTAGTGGCGATGGTGCTTCTGGTAGAAGGGTATAGATCCAGACATGCTGCAGGCCGCTCCAAATGTTGGCCAAGAGTTTCTTCTTGTCTTTCTGTTTGTCATGTTAGTTCAGTTAAAGAGCAGGTCGGACATCAGCTTAGCTCTTCTATTCCCTGCTGCACATAAACTTCAGATTTCATAGTGAAACAAATAACTTCTAGATCATTTGCTTAAATAAAAAAAAAGAAGTTCTCTGAAACATCAAGAAACTTGCCATCTCTGCTCCAAAGATATCCATTCAGACAATCAGGCTCTTCATTAACATGCTTCATCAGACAAATGCACCAATTACAATCTGGCAGGCTACATTCTCATCCCCACAGGGTCCACTTACCTTGGACAAAATCCCTTTAACTCCAATCTTTTCAGAAAATATATGATCCAACTCCCCTCTTTACAGCTTGATATCCCAGGAAACCCACAGGTAGGTGCTTACAGTGCTGCGGTCTACACAACCAAAATAATATTGGCACTGACCAGAGTGTCCAAGCTGAAGTCACAGCCTTTTAAGGAGAGGGTGGAGATAAATATAGCCGGTAGCAAAGCAGAGAGGACGAGAGTCGGCTTATCATGGAACACATTTATGGGTGCAGGTCTAAATGCCGATAAGCAGCACTGTGTGTGTAAACACAAACCTGTCTTCAGAAAATACTCTAACGACCAACTGATTATTACAAATGATTCCCATAGCTGATCCGGTTTTACATTTTCCTAATTTGCCATCTGGCCTGTCACTGACAGTTTGTCAGAGTTTGTTAACCTTTGGTGGCTTTTGTTCTGCTTTTTACTCCAGCAGTCTCAGCTGTGACTGATGCTAACTTTAGCCATACCATTGTTGCTCCTTCACATTCAACAAATACCAGTCTCTGGGTCTTGTGTCATTCACTCTTTAAGCCCGTCATATTTCTTAGAAGAACACAAATGTGCCCTTTAACCCCCAGCAGGCATAAGGAACTCTAGAAAGAGAGAATATATTAAAAAAAAATCTGTATGTATGAACCTTACACATCTAGGTATTAAGCAATGATACATAAGCACTGTCCAGAAAAGTTACAAAAACAATCCAATGGACTTTGTTTCCAAGTTTAAATATGTTTAGCTTCCCATCCAGGAAGCTTTTTCAATACAAAGTGTCAGAAATAGTGTTAGAAGTTTTACAGAGCCTTGTTTTGGCTTAGAAAACATGCACACTGAACTGGACGACTGGGTCGTCCCTTAGGAATGGGCAGTCAATTTGGTTCTTTGTTAGCCTGCAATATCTGATACCTGTCTATGTCTCTGAAAGGGGGGTCGTTAGAGGGAATTGTTGGCCTGGCTGAACAGGCAAGGTGTTCTGTTCCCCTGTAAGGTAAGGTGACCAGATTTCTGCAATCTAATCCAGCTCATAGATAAAAATAAATACATTTTATGAAATTTAAAATAGGAAATGGTGACAGTGATGTTTTCTATCCATTTTTACATCTTTATTGATATTCAAACAAAAATCAAGTGTGAAATCCAGGAATGTGCCTCTTCCATTTCCTAAGATAAATAATATTAATCAATCAATAGTGTTTATTCGTGCCATCTGGTCATTCAGTCTCCTCTGTCTTCTTCATTGTGTTCAGGGACAGGCCAGCTTGCATCAATACAATGTCTGTGGGAATGAAACTTTTTTATATATATGCAAATTGTAAAACATATTTTTTTTCTAAATAATGATAACTATAAACTGAAATGGCCTCCAGTTATTTATACTGTATCCTGGATAGCTGCAGTGCATTCGGTAGCCTCCAGCAGCGTGTATTAAAATCTGTGTCACTATTAAAAAACTGATGTTAGATTTTTATATTCAGGTTAAATTACAACATAAAACATATCTATTATTCCGGATCATTCTCATGAGCAGCTTGAAGCAGCAAAAACTGGACATATGCTGGATGCTGATGGGGATTTTTTTAATATGTCATATTAAACTAAGCGTTAATTTCCGCATGTTTTGCTCCTATGAATTTTATTATAATATCACACATGCTCTCTTCCAGCCCAGAGGAAGTCGGATAGCAGCAAAGAACAGCAGAGGCTGTAGGCTTTGCTTTGCGCAGGCGCTCTGGAGTAGCCTGGGTGCCATTCCGAACTTAGTCCCGCCCTCAACTTTTGATTCTGACTAGAATTGAGTAGGACTACGTCAGGCTAGCTCTGGAGCAGTGAATAAATGGAGAGTAGTGTTGTGAACCTTGAGACCCCAGCTAGCAGGTGGTGTTATGTTGGGAATGAATTAAAGTTAAGCCTGAAAATAAACAGAAATTAAACAATTTGAAATGATCATTTTGTGAACAATGAGTAAAATAGGGCATAGGGCTTTGAATCCTGAGTTTGTGAGTTCGATCCCCCACTCCCACACTCTGGGTCCCTGAGCAAGACCCTTAACCCCACTTTTCTCCCTGGGCGCTGCACAATGGCCCCCCAC